CCCCAAAACCCCAAAACCCCAAAACCCCGTCTAAACCAAACACCTCAATTATTTCCCAAAAATCCTTTTTAACAACCCCTTTGGCTTCGAGTAAGAAGGACGTTCTTTCTTAGGACTGAAAGGCTCTACATTGTGAAACCTCCCCATCACATGCTGGAGCAACTCTTCAACCCCTTCTCCAGTTTTAGCAGAGGTCTCAAAATGGAAGTCAATGTTGTTCATGGCTTGAAATTCAGAGATTTGGACACTAGTGATAGCTGTTTTGGAGGCCAAATCTGCCTTAGTGCCGACCAGATAGGTTGTTTCAGCAGGGCTTTTAAGTGAACCTGCCCAGTACCGGCACGTTTTAAGAGAGTTTAGGTCTGTAATGTCGTACATCAGGAAGGTATACTGGCACTGTTTGATGTAGTTAAGAGTTACAGCTCTGAACCTCTCTTGTGCTGGAGCATCATACACCATAATGGTGACTTTCCTATCTTGAAAATCTCTGGTAACTTTAAACATATCTAGTCCAACAAGGTATGATAAATTATTCTTGAAAGTTCCAGTCTTCATCCTAGTAGCCAGTTGTGTCTTTCCGACTGTATCACCAATAAATACGACCTTGAAGGTCGAATCTGCAATGGATCTTGCACTCGAGGTCCTACTTGCATAGTGTACAGCTTTAGGTTCCTTTTCCTCTGTTAAATTAAGGCAGAAAACCCCATCATCTGGTTGAACCAGGGATCCTCGGTATTTAACGCAGTTTTCAGGATCTTTTATTGGTGTTAACACTTGCGGCATCTCTATTCTATTCGGAAATTCTTGGTCAAAGTCTAAAAATTGAGTATTTTAGTCCAGGTTCCAAAATTATGAGAGTCGATGGAAACTATTTGTGTAGATTTTTATAATTTTGCAAAGGAAAATATTTACTCAGGCTATCAAATTACACTGACAAGAACTTTGAGTCAGGATAGTTATACACATTTCCGCAAGAGAATTATTGAACAGAGACTTTGACTAGTGCCTCAAGACAGATCGGTTATTTTTGAGCAACCTGAAATGTCCTCAGACTCGAAATTTGCCAAACCATGCTTGGTTGTCTAAGCGAGACCTTTAGGATCTAACGGATAGGGGAGCTAATAAATTCATTAGGATATGGAAACCCAAGATCTACCTCTGGATTGACCTCCTACTTCATTATTTATGGTCAAGCTGGATTATCAGATCTGAAACAAGACTCTCAGCTTGCTCCTTATCCTTCTTCAATTCGAGAATCTGTCGTTCAAGAGATTCTATTTTTAACTGAAACCTTCGGTTCATTTTCTTTTCAGTTTTTACTGTTGCCTCATCCCAGGCCTTTTTAGTCGCTTCTTTTCTGACTTCTCTGATCTCTTTCCTTCTGGTTTGTTCGTAATAATTTTTGGTCCTCAACCTTAGATTTCTAACGATTTTTACTGTTTTACGATTTATCAAATCTGCATCTTTGATTACAAATGGGAGCAAATTTCCTCCCAGAGTGTCAAGCACTTGGCTATCAAACAGAAGCTTCAGAATCGGATTATACTCATTTTGAGAGGTGAATAATGATCCTTTAAAAATATCTGGAAGAATTTGCTTTCCTCTTGACACCAGCATTGAGAGTTCTCTTATATTACCAAACGTCAATCATTCAGAAACTTCTGCTTGGAATTCTTGAACAGCTGATGCAATATCAGCAAGAGCTTGTTCAAGCCCATTGATTGTTTGGAGCATATCATACTTATGAGCTAGCTGCTGAAGACCTTGCTCGAAATCTGTAAGGAACTTCATAGTCTCATTTAGCTCATCAGAGTCACAGATCCTGTCATATTCTCAGTCATAATGTCTGCTCCGACAGCATCGGAGGCAGGTGATGTAACTGTGGGAGAAGCAGTAGTATTCTGCCTGTGCTGAGCACTTCTTTGTGGTTCATGTTTGGATTTTGGGGTTCATACTTTGCTAATAAGTTTTAACGATTGCAATAACTTAGCGAAACTCGGGGTTTTGGGGTTTTGGGGTTTTGGGG